TTCCTTTCTCTCTCTCTCTCTCTCTATCTCTCTGTTTCTCTCTATTGTGTATTCAGCTTTGTTTTGTGTGTCTCTCTCTCTATATATATATATATATTCCTTTCTCTCTCTCTCTCTCTCTTTCTCTGTCTCTCTATTTTTCCCTCTGTCCTTCTCTCTCTCTCTCTTTCAGGCTGCATCTCTGTATACATATATATATATATATGCATGTGTAGTAGTATGATTGTATGGCTTCCTCTTCCTCTCTTTCTCTATCCCTCTGCCTTTCTCTTTTGTTATATCATTATACCTCTAGCTCTCTATTATTTTTCTCTCTCTCTCTCTCTCTTTATCGTTATGTTGTTTGTCTGTCTGTGCCTCTCTCTCTCTCACTCTGTCTCTACGTAGTGTATAGAGGTATGGTCCCCCCACCAACACCTCAAACCACCAAGATAACAAAGCCTTCGTTAATCGTGTTTTCGTCGTCCTCCTCCTCCTCCTCCTCCTGCTCCCCATCATCTTCCTCCTCCTCGTCTTCTTCTTATTATTAATATGGTTCGTAGTCCTACTGTTCTTTTTCGTATTCGTATTACTCTTCTTATGCTTATGTTTTCTTCTACTTCGCTGGTGCGCGATTGATCATGGATACCTCGCCACGCATCTTGGCCTCCGAAGACCTCCGAAGACCGCCGAGGACCTCTCGAGCGCGCGCCCCGCCGCGGGCGCTGCGGCCCGACACGGTCTTCGGCGGTGGTCCGTCGGCGGACTTCGGCGGTCTTCGGCGGTATTTCGGCGGTCTTCAGCGGTCTTTCGGCGGTCTTCCGCGGTCTTTCGGCGGTCTGGACGGCGGTCCGACATGGTCTTCGGCGGTCTTCGGCGGTCATCGGTGTGAAAGCTAGACACTTTGCGTTCACAAAGGGGTCCATGAGCGAACACGTAATCGTTGCATTGTGATTGTTGTACTTCGTCGCACTCATCTCATGATTATGTCATCGCTTCGCTCAATTCGTCGGCCCATATTGCGCGCCTTGGAGGCCTTTTGGGGTTTCCTGGTGTCTCTTCGGTCGCAAGGCTCGAATTGTCGGTTCGTGTTCCCCCTCTTGGGCCCGCCTTGGGGCCATTTCGGGGCTCTCTTGGGCTGTTTTGGGCGCCTCTTGGGCCGTTTCGGGGCCGTCTCGAAATGTCTTGGGATTTTCTTGGGGGCATCTTGGGCAGTCTTGGGGCGGTCTTGGGGGCCCCTGGGGCCTTTTTGGAGCTTTGGATGCTCGAAATAGCGTGAAAGCCTTACAGAACACAATCACAACCAGTGCATTGTGTCTCTCTGAGCCCTCCTGGGGGACCTCTTGGAGCGCTCTTGGAGCTTCTTCGAGAGAAGGAGACCCCGGCTCCTCGGGCCAGCGCGGTGGCCCACGCGGTGCTCGGACTGCACCAGCAAAGGCTCCTCCTGGAAGAGCCCGCAACAAGAACACGGCACGACCACGAGCTGTTGAGGGCTCGTGCGGATTTCTTGGGCCGGCGCGGCCCTTTTTTTTCCTCCTCCTCCTCCTCCTCCTCCTCCCGCTCCACCTCCTGTCCTCCTCCTCCTCCTCTTCGTTCTACTCCTGCTCCTCATCCTTCTCCTGCTCGTCCTGTTCCTCCTGCTCCTCCTCCTCCTCCTCCTCCTTCTCCTCCTCCCCTCCTCCATTCTCCTTCTCCTTATAGATAACTCCTCCCTGTCGCACCCCGAGGCCAGCTTTTAGGGCGGGCCGGGCGGTTCGCCTGAGACCTCCTCACCACTTACGCCTCTGAAGCTTAAGAAGTGGCAACAGTTTCACAGATGGAGGGCGGATCGTTTTCAAAATGTGGCTCTCGCATTAGCGCCGCGTGCATTGTTTGTTAAACATTGCAAGGGCTTCACGGATTGAGGGCGGATGGTTTTCAAAGTGTGGCTCTCGCCTCAGCGCCGCGCGCATTCTTTGTTAAGAACTGCAAGCGTTGCACGGACTGAGGGCGGATGGTTTTCAACATGTGGCTCTCGCCTTAGCTCCGCGCACATTCGTTTTCAATATTTGCAAGAGCTTCACGGATTGAGGGCGGGTGGCTTTCAACATGTGGCTCTCGCCTTAGCGCCGCGCACATTCGCTTTCAAAATTTGCAAGAGCTTCACGGATTGAGGGGGTTTTCAACATGTGGCTCTCGCCATAGCGCCGCGCACACTCGCTGTAAACATTTGCAAGGGCTTCACTGATTTCCATGATCAGCGTACCCAAGAATTTGTTGGGGAACCATTCAGGATTATGCGGGTGCAACAGTTATGTTGATTCGCGATGTTGGAATTAAAAAATGGCGTTATGACACGACTCCGGATCGCCAGAACGCAGCAGTCAAGTTGATACGTGGCGTTGGAATCCCGAAAACAATGTTCTGGCATGCTCCAGGGTCTTCAAACGGTTGTCTTCCAACGAGGCAGTTCCCTCAATGGAAATGAACCGTTGTAGGGGCCTATGAAGAGGGAGCTTGAAGGTAGGGTTAATCCCAACATCGTTGATTACTCTTGGGTTTACACTGGTCCTTCTCCTCCTCCTCCTGTTCCTCCTCCCCCTCCCCCTCCTCCTCCTCCTCCTCCTCCTCCTCCTCCTCCTCCTCCTCCTCCTCCTCCTCCTCCTCCCCAAACGTCCTCGCTTCGTGAAAAAAACAAGACGGACTGTTTTTTTGTGTGTTGGGAGTGGAGCATTGTTCGGCCTTCCAATGTCCTGAGCGAACCATGCGATCGTCAAAAAACAACTCGGGATGAGCAGACGGTCCCAGGGAAGGGGTCCATGCGTCTGAAAAGCAACGTTGAGACAAAAAATCACGGCGTCGGATGTATGGGTCTGCCTCCTCTCCACTCCCCTGCCGCGCCGAACGCGCCAGGGGCGGCGCCAGAGACGCCACCGCGGCGGGGGCCGGCGCCGACCCGAGAAACCCGCGCGGAGCTCGAACGAATTGTGGCCGTGCCGCTTCTGTTTGATCGAGCTCCTCCCACGCCACCGGCGCGGCCAGCTCCCTCCCCGCCCCTCCCGCTGGCGCGGCCCGCTCCATGCACGCGGCCGCGGCCCCACGTGTGCGAGGCCCGTGGTCGCCCGAGCCAAAATGGCTGGGCAGGGCAGGAGGAGGAGGAGGAGCAGGAGGAGGAGGAGGAGGAGGAGGGGGAGGAGGGGGAGGAGGAGGAGGAGGAGGAGGGGGAGGAGGAGGAGGACCAAAACCCCAGACGTTGCGGTGTTCGCTAAGTGGACCTACTGAGGTCTCGACCCCCCCCCCCGAGACCAGCGTTCCATCCTGAGTCGTTTTCGCAGGGGCCCCCGGAGTCCGAGAATTGCTCGAAGTCGTTCGCTGCGATTTCTTGGACGACGCGAGGGATCTGGGGAGGGCAAGGGGGCGAACCTGTCAACTCGTTGGCGAAAGGCTTCTGCAATTCAACCAAATAAGAAATCACCCCTCTTTGACCCTCCCTTATAAAGAGGGCGGGGCAATAATGGGCTCCCAGACCCGTTTACGGGAGCCCACCCCTGACCCGTCCTGCAAGGGAGAGATCGATGGTGGCATCACGCGGAATAAGTCGATGGTGGGCTCGCTCGGAGGTCTTGAGACGATGTGGCGACGGACCGCGCGGTGAGTTCGAAACCTGTAGAGACCCCACCGCACGGCGGTGTGGCCACGGAGGCTCCTCCTCCTCCTCCTCCTCCTCCTCCTCCTCCTCCTCCTCCTCCTCCTCCTCAGTTCCCCGAGACACCCTCGGAGACCGACGCCCGAGCTCCTAACAGCCACGTCATGTGACGCCGAGAAAAACCCAGCGGGCTCGCGGCGCACCGCCGCAGGGGGGCCCCCTGCGGCGGTGGACCTCCGGGCGCGCGAGAGCCCCACCGGGGCCGGGGGGCCCTCCCTGGGCTGCGGCGGGGGGGGGGGGGAGCGGAGGGAAGTGAAGAGGGGGGCCCCATCGCTCGCCCCCCCGGGGGAAGAGGACGGGTATGGAGAGGAGGAGAAGGAGAAAGGTCTGGGTCCCCCTCGCGTTTCCCGCCCCCCCCCACCCCGGAGGGAGGGGAAGCGCGGGGGGGCCCAGGCTCCCTCGCGTACCCTGGCATCCTCACGCTGCGGAAAAGAAATGCAGCCAACCCGTATGTTCAGGACGCACGGCGAGAATGCAGAGGCCTTGGAGGGCCATGTCGACACTTTGCGAGCGGTGCGCGGCCAGCGAAAGCGGCCACGGATGGGCCGAAGGGGAAGAATGCAAGGGTAACGTTGGAAAGTCGCTCATCCTAACTATGCGGGTGGACGATGAATCGTCGGCCTCCGAGGGCCCTCACCAAGGCCCAGGACAGTCAGGAAACGGCCCCGGAGGAAAAAGCTGAACTAGTCCCGCGGAAAAGGGTCCAGACCTCCATGGAGCCATGTTGGGAAACCATCACGACGGGTGAGGTCTGGGTCGCGAAAGCGTCATGACCGTTCGGCATCGGGGTGTTCTTACACTGGGCCCTGCATGACCTCAAAAACGAGCCGGGATGAAAAGCAGGTGCCGGGGACCAGACCTCCAGAGGTTCACGCTGGAACATGGCAGAACACGATGAGGCAGCCGAGCTCTACAAGGATGGCGCGAGCGCCCTTACTGCTGTTGGCACAACAAGCCTCCCGGGCTGGTCCAAACTCATACGACCAGGTTGCATACGATTCGGCGTTGGGAAAACAGTGGAGGCCCGTCCACAAGAAACCGTCCACAAGAAACCCAACCCTGAGATCCCAGGACGTACATGTATTTTTGATGCGGGAACGTCGCGCGTTTTATTGCAAAACAATCGAAACTCAAGAAACCCAGGGTACCCTGGAGACAAGCAGGGTGTTTCTTGGCATGGGCCCCCAATGTACTGGCGTCTAGCGCGCTCCAGGTTTGTGTGAAGAAGTTGCGGGACAAGCAGGCGTGCGACTCTGACGATGCGGAGGCGGACGCAGAAAGAAGAGCAGCGTGCATATTTTCCAGCACCCTGCTCATACAATGACTTCTCACTCCCTCAGCGCGCAGCCAGAACCCGCCCAATGATTAATCGATGTGCCCTGTGCACCGCATCCAGGGATCCTTTCACCGTGACCACACCCTCCACTTCATTCGGCTCGATTGACAAGGTCGCTCCAGTTGCCACCCGGATCGCGGATGCAGAGGACCCACCTTTGCCAAGGACACGGCCGATAGCGTCCTGGAGGACATGCAGAAAAGACAATGGAGCAGCAAACCCATCAACACCAGCTCTGTACTTTCCCGCTGCCAGCGCAGAAACTGGGCCAGCAAGCTCAAGAGCACAGAAAGCCGAAGACAGGTGCCTCACAGGCTGCAGGCGGCCTCCCATTGCCCGACATAATCACGAACATCAATGTCACACGAGCCCTCGAAACGCCCGGAGCCTACTGAAAAAAGCCTCGCGGAAGCCCGGAGGGCTCCAGGGCTTGGGGGCTATAACTCGGCTCTCCAACAGTCGTTCGAGGACGGCCCAGGCACCCACGGAACGCCCTCCACGAGGCGCAGCTGTTGGAAATCATCCCGAGGCTGGGACGCCGCCGAAAGCCGACGAAAACGCCCGAAGCCTCGAACCCCGAGCGGCGGCGACAGGGCGAGCCGAGTGCACCATGCCTGGAACAGACGGGCCGCCAGACATCTGCTCACGTCCACAAGGCCGTCGGGCCGTCCAGAGGTTGTGCGGACTGGGGCGGCGCAGAGCGGAGGCACCGTCGGCGACAGAAATGGGCGTGGGCCCCCTCGTCCACCAGCCCTCCCTCTCCACATCCCTCCTCTGACTCCCTCCCTCCATCTCCTCCTCCATCATTCTCTTTGTAGGTAACTTCTCCCTGTCGCACTCCGAGGTGAGTGTTTAGGGCGGGCCGGGAGTTTCGCCTGAGACGCCCTCACCATTGATGTCTCTGAATTTCTGAAAGTGACAACAGATTCACAGATGGAGGGCGGGTCGTTTTCAAAATGTGGCTCTCGCCTTAGCGCCGCGCACATTCGCTTTAACATCTTGCAAGAGCTTCACGGATTGAGGGCGGGTCGTTTTCAAAGAATGTGATTCTCGCCCTAGCGCCGCGCACACAAGTAGTTTTACGGATTGAGGGTGGGTCGTTTTCAATATGTGGCTCTCGTCTTAGCGCCACGCACGTGTGTGTGTGTGTGTGTGTGTTTAAAGCATGTGCAAAAGCTTCACGGATTGAGGGCGGGTCGTTTTCAAAATGTGGCTCTCGCCTTAGCGCCGCGCACATTCGCTTTAACATTTTGCAAGGGCTTCACGGATTGAGGGCGGATCGTTTTCAAAATGTGGTTCTCGCCTTAGCGCCGCGCACGTGTGTGTTTAAAACATGTGCAAAAGCTTTACGGATTGAGGGCGGGTCGTTTTCAAAATGTGGCTCTCGCCTTAGTGCCGCGCACACTCGCTTTTAAAATTTGCAAGAGCTTCACGGGTTCCCATGATCAACGTACCAGAATTGGTGTTTTGGCAGGGTCGAGGATTACACGGGTGCATCAATTATGTTGATTCGCAATGTTGAGGTTCCAAAAATGGCGCTCTGGCAAGATTCCGGATCGTCAAGACGCAGCAGTCACGTTGATACGTGGCGTTGAAATCCCGAGAACAATGTTTCGGCATGCTTCAGGATCTTCAAACGGTTGCCTTACAACGAAGCAGTTCCCTCAATGGAAATGAGCCGTTGTAGGGGCCTATGAAGAGGGAGTTTGGAGGAAGGCTTAATTCCAACATCGGTGATGACTCTTGGGTTTACACTGGTCCTCCTCCTCCTCCTTCTCCTCCTCCTCCTCCTCATCCTCCTTCTCTTCTGACATCCTCGAAGCCTGAGAAAAAAAACACCATGGATAACTTTATTTGCAAATTTTCTGCATTCGATGGCCCCCCACGGGACCGTCAACCGAACTACTCGGGATGAAAATCTAGTCCGCGGGGAAGGGGCCCACACGTTTGGGGTTTGGGAAGCAACGTGACAAAATCGCGACGTCGGATACATGAGTCCGCCCTGTGTCCTCAGCGAGCCCTGGGATCGTCAAAAAACAACTCAGGATGAGCAGACAGTCTCGGGGAAGGGGTCCATACCTCTGGAAGCAGCGCAGCCACACATTCACGACGTCGGATGCCTGGGTCCACCTCCCCTCCACTCCCCCCTGCCGCGCCAAATGCGCCAGACGCGGCGCCGGAGGCGCCACCACGGCGGAGGCCAGCGCCGACCCGAGATATATCCAGTCCCTCCGCCGTCGTGTTTTGGCTCTGGCCCTCTCCCGTTCGCCTTTTTCGGGCCCTCGTTTGGTCCTGCTGCTGCCTGGGTGTGAGCGCTTAACCCCAAACCAGTCCAAAACAAGAATCTGAGGAATTCGCGCAAAGCTCACACAAATGATTCGGCGGCGAGCGAGGGGGAGAAGCGAGAAGGAGAAGGCCTCCTCAGAAGGCGGCGGGTTTTCTCAGAAACCCCCGCGCCTTCTGAAAAGTCTCCTGCGCCGTCGGAAGAGCCTCAGACAACTTCTCAGAAGGCCGGAGAGCTCCCGAGCCTTCTGGGGACGCATCTTCCTTCTCACTTTCACTCTCGCTCGCCGCCGAAAACCATGGTCGAACCACGCCTTGACAAAAAATCAGGACGGCGGATTTCTGGGGCCCACGACGACGAGGCCTTTCTGTGGACCTCCCTGCATCTAAGGAGGAGGGGATAGGAGGGGGGACCGATCCTTGAGAGGGAAATCCCTAAGAAACCCTTTGGAACTCCCTACTCTTTGGAAATGGTCCTGCCACGCTTGTTTGGAAAAATCTCCGACGGAAAGACCCCACACGACAATTTGTTCAGCTTGCCTGAGGACATCCTCTTGCTCCCTCCTCCTACACCCACCTGCCTCCTCCTCCCCCTTCTTGCCTCATCTTCCTGCCTCCACCTCTTTCTGCCTCCTCCTCCTCCAGCCCCTCCCCATGCCTCCTCCTGCCTCCTGCCTCCTGCCTCCTGCCTCCTGCCTCCTGCCTCCTCCTGCCTCCTCCTGCCTGCTACTGCTGCCGCTGTTGCTGCTGCTACTGCTGCTGCTTCTGCTGCTCCGCCGCCGCCGCCGCCGCCGCCGCCGCCTCCGCCTCCTCCTCCTCCTCCTCCTCCTCCTCCGCCTCGTCCTCCTCCTCATCCTCCTCCTCCACCTCCTCCTCCTCCTCCTCCACGTCATCATCATGCTCCTCCTCCTCCTCCACCTCCTCCTCCTCCTCCTCCTCCTCCAACTCCACACCTCCTTTGCCAGTTCTAGCATATTCTCCTCCTCCTCGTCCTCGTCCTCGTCCTCGTCGTCCTGGTCATCCTTGTCGTCTTCGCCATCCTCCTCCTCCTCGTCCTCGTCCTCGTCTTCCTCCTCCTCCTCCTCCTCCTCCTCCTCCTTCTCTTCCTCCTCTTCCTACGTCTGCCTCCTCCTCCTCCTCCTGCTCTTGCTCCTCATCCTCTCTTTTCTCCTCTTCCTCCTTCTGTTATTACTCGTCCTTCTCCGTCTCCTCCTCCTCCTCCTCCTCCTCCTCCTCCTGCTTGGGCCTCCCGCCTCCACCTGGGGCCTCCTGGGGGCTCATGGAGCTTCCCGAGGCGTGCTGCAGCCTTCTGGAGCCTCCCAGGGCCTCCTGGAGCACTCTTCCTCTTCCTGCTCATCCTGTCTCCTCCTCCTCCTCCTCCTCCTCCTGCTCCCTCCTCCCTCTCCTCCTCGTCCTCCTCCTCCTCCTCCCCTCCTCCTCTCCTTCTTCTCCTCCTCTCCTCCTCCTCTCCTCCTGCCGCGCCCTTCTCCTTCTTCTCCTCCTCCTCCTCCTCCTTCTCCTCCTGCGCGCCCCCACCTCCTTCTCCTCCTTCTCCTCCTCCTCCTCCTCCTCCTCCTCCTCATCCCCCTCCTCCTCCTCATCGTCCCTCGTCCTGCCTCTTCTCGGGCCTGAAAGGGCCTCCCGTTGTCTCCGAAAGCCTCTGGGGGCTCCTGGAGCCTGGCCTCCTCTTCCTGCCTTGGGCCTCCTGCTGTCACCTGGGACCTCCTAGGGCCTTCTGGAGCCTTCTGGGGCCTCCAGGGACCTCGTGCAGTCCGGGTTACTCCTGAGACCTCCCGGGGCCTCTTGGACAACTCATGGGGCCGCCTAGGGCTTTCTGATGGCTCTAGGGACTCCTGCGGCCTCCGGGGCCTCCTGAAACTTCATGTGGGTTCCTGAAGCCTCCTGGGGGGTGCTATAACCTTCGGGAGCTTTCCGAGGGCACCAGCTCGAGACTTCCTGACGACTCGCTCACTGACGAAGTTCCCGCTTGAGACTTCGTCAAGATTCAAGCCTTTGATTCAAACATGGAGGTGGGGACCCTACAGGGAGGGCATATTCAAGCAGGAGGAGCCCAATTACCAACAGGAAGTGCGGGCCCCAAATGGAGGGGGGGCCCGCTTGAGAGACCCTCACGATTTGCCCTCTTGGGGTGCTCAAGTGCTATGCCTAGTGTAGTTTGCGGATGACCCGCTCGGAATACCAACATGAAACGCGGGTCTCATAGGGAGGGGGCTCCCGCCTGAGATTTCCTCGCAACGCTCTCACAGACGAGACCCCCGCTTGAGACATCCTCATGATTTGACAATGCCTGGTAAAGCTTGCCGATGCCCCGCTCGGGTTACCACCATGAAACGCGGGCCCCAAAGGGAGGGAGCTCCCGCGTGAGACGTTCTAGCAGTTCACTCACAAACGAGACCGCCGCTTGAGACATCCTCACGACCTGCCCCCTTGGGGTGCTCAAGTGCGATACCTGGTAGACTTTGCCAATGACCTGGTCGGAATACCCACGTAAAATGCGGGCCCCATAGGGAGGGGGCTCCCGCGTGAGACGTCCTTGCAAGTTGCTCACAGACGAGGCCCCCGCTTGAGACATCTTCGCGATTTGCCCCTTTGGGGTGCTCAAGTGCGATACAACTGGTACAGTTTGCCGAGGACCTGCTCGGATGACCAATATGAAGCGCGGGCCCCATGGGGGGGGCGCCTCAGACTTCCTCGCAATGCGCTCACAGACGAGGCCCCAACCTGAAACATCCTGACGGTTTGACCCCTTGGGGGGCTCAACAACTATGACTACCCGCTCGGATTACCAACATAAAGTGCGGGCCGCATATGGATGGGGCACCCGCTCGAGACTTCACTCACGGTGAGTATGTGCTTCAGGGGTATGATAATCGTGGTGGTGGTGATGCTGATGACGATGATGATGTTGTTGATGGTGGTGATGTTGGTGATGATGATGATGATGATGATGATGATGATGATGATGATGATGATACTGCTGGTGTTGATGATGATGCTGATGATGACGGTGGTGATGATACTGAGTGGTGATGATAAGTGAGCGTGTGGATTTAAATGAGTGTGAGTGAATGCGTTATGGTGTGTGAGGTGATGATGGTTACGATGATGGTGCTGATGGCAATGACGATGCTGATGATGATGATGATGATGACGATGCTGATGCTGATGATGATTAGGGTGGTGGTGGTGACGATGATGATGATGACGATGCTGTTTATGCTGCTGCCGCTGCTGATGATGATGATGCTGATGCTGAAAATGATCATGATGGTGATGATCATGATAATGATCATGCTGACTATGCTGATGATGATTCTGGTGGTGATGCAGCTGATGATGATGACGATGAGGATGAGGATGATGTTGTTGCTGCTGATGTTGATGATGACTATGCTGATGACGATGATGGTGATGTTGTTTCTGATGATGACGATGATTATGTTGATGATGACGATAATGCTGATGACGACGATGCTGATATTGATGATGATGTTGCTGTTGTTGATGATGGTGCTGATGATGATGCTGATTATGTCGATGATGCTGCTGCTGCTGCTGCTGATGATGATGATGATGATGATGATGATGATGATGATGATGATGATGATGCGTGGTTGTGTGTATGAGCGAGGAAGAGGGAGCTGAAAAAGAGGAGGTGTAGGAGGAGATCCTGCGCGGGGTGTGCACAGAGAAAACAAGAAGCTCACTTTGCATGAGAGGAAAAAACAGGACGGCGGATGTCTGGGGCCTGCTCATCCCTGACTCCCTCTCCTCCTCCTCGCTGCCTCCGCTCCCTCCAATCCTTCCCCTGGTGGCGCGTACTGGGGGGGGAGCAGGGGGAAGGGGAGAAGGCTTCTTAGAGAGAGGCTGCCTCTTAGAGGGCGCCGGTCCTGCAGGGACAGACGAGGCCCACGCCCTCTGAGGGTATAAAAAAAGATCTCCTCCTCCTCGGCGGCGCGCACGGGGGGGGCAGGGGGAAGGGGGGAAGGCTTCTTAGAGGGATGGTGCCTCTTGGAGGGCGCAAGACAAAACCCTCGCCTTCTGAAGGTACAACACACCCGATGGTATAAAGAAAACCCGAGTGCGTGAAAAAACCGAGGATATAAAAGCCCTCGGGTTCATTTTATACTCTCGGGATTGTCCTACCCTCGTGATTTTTCTACCCTCGCTGTTATTTTCACAACAACAACAAAAAGATGCTTCCAAGAAGCCTGCCCCCTCCCCCTATCCCCCTCTGCGCGTGGCCGACCACCTCCTCCTACTCCTCCTCCTCCTCCTCCTCCTCCTCCTCGTCCTTGGGGATGGTGAAGGCGATCGTCGAGCGGCTCTGGGAGACCTGCTCGTCCGTCTCGTCGGGCAGCTCCACAAGGTCCTCTGGAGGAGGGGGGCGGGGGGCAAGAGGCGAGGGGAAGGAGGGAACGAAGGATGAGAGGTGAAGGGGGGGCGCGGCGCACAAACTGACTTAGGGGGTTCTGGCTGGCGCCGGAAACCTAGAAGTGAAAACAACATAAGCCCAATCAGTGGTTAGATGGGTAGCTGGGAATTGCTTAGCATTGCGTGGCACAATGCTAAGCAATGCAAATGCATCGCATCTGAGGCCGATCGTGAGACTGATAGTGGCATCGATCGTAAGATCGATGGAGTGAGAACAAAAAGAACGTAAGATCGCTGACGAGACCGATAGTGAGATCGAGAGTGAGACCGATAGTGAGATCGATTGAGTGACATCGGCAGTAAGACCGACAGTGAGATCGATGGAGTGGCATGGATGGTGAGATCCAGGATGAGATCGATTGAATGGTATTGATAATGAAATCGATGGTGAGATCGAATGAATGAGATGGATGGTGATATCGATAATGAGATCGATCGTGAGATCGACCGGGAACCCGGAAACCTGCGAACCCGATACAGAACCCCAGAACCCCACCGCCCACCAAAATCAGTTTGGAAACAGCCGGGAAGCCGGAACCCCGAGCCCAGGAACCCGAAACTGGGAACCCGGGAACCCGGCCGACTTTCAACTGCCGCTAGGACCCCTTCAGTGCATGAGGAAGGCACACATAAAAACCGCCTAAACGCTTGGTATTCGAACCAAGATCCGACTTTCGGGTCGGAGTCCTCCGCGTGCTTCTGGCTATGCCGGAGGCGCTCGGTCTGTGGGGAGGGATGGAGGAAGATAGCAGGGGGGTCCCTGGATGCTGGCTTGGGCTGCTTTCAGAGAGGCAGGTCCGTCGGAGAGGAGGGGGAGTCGAGGGGAGAACATGGCCTGCGCCAACTCAGGTTCGAAACCCTGCAGGGAGCCGCGAGGTCTCGGCTGGGCCTGCGAGGACCTCTACTCCGCTGGACCTCCCTGGAGCCCACGGAAATGGCGAGAATTGCGCGGTTCGCAACCCCGCAGTGAGCCGCAAAGTCTCGGCAGCTCTGCGTGGACCTCCACTCTGCTCACCCTCCAGGGACCCAACGAGAATGGCGACAATTGCGCGGTTCGCAATCCCGCAGGAAGTCGCGAGGTCTCGGGAAATCTGCGTGGACCTCCACTCCGCTGGACCGCCCAGGAGCCGCGAGGTCTCGGCAGATCTGCGTGGACATCCACTCCGCTGGACCTCCCAGGAGCCCACGAAATTGGCGACAGCTGCGCGGTTCGCAATCCCGCAGGAAGTCGCCAGGATTCGGCTGGGCCTGCGTGGACCTCCACCACTCCGCTGGACCTCCCAGGAGCCCACGAAAATGGCGACGGCTGCGCGGTTCGCAACCCCGCAGGAAGTCGCGAGGTCTCAAAAGATCTGCGTGGACCTCAACCACTCCGCTGAACCTCCCAGGAGCCCACGAAAATGGCGACGGCTGCGCGGTTCGCAACCCCGCAGGGAGCCGCGAGGTCTCGGCAGATCTGCGTGGACCTCCACTCCGCTGGACCTCCCAGGAGCCAACGAAAATGGCGACAGCTGCGCAGTTCGCAACCCCGCAGGAAGTCGCGAGGATTCGGCTGGGCCTGCGTGGACCTCCACCACTCCGCTGGACCTCCCAGGAGCCCACGAAAATGGCGACGGCTGCGCGGTTCGCAACTCCGCAGGGAGCCGCGAGGATTCGGCAGGGCTGCGTGGACCTCCACCACCGCTGGACCTCCCAGGAGCCCACGAAAATGGCGACAGCTGCGCGGTTCGCAACCCCGCAGGAAGCCGCGAGGTCTCGGCAGATCTGCGTGGACCTCCACTCCGCTGGACCTCCCAGGAGCCCACGAAAATGGCGACAGCTGCGCGGTTCGCAACCCCGCAGGAAGCCGCGGGATTCGGCTGGGCCTGCGTGGACCTCCACCACTCCGCTGGACCTCCCAGGAGCCCACGAAAATGGCGACGGCTGCGCGGTTCGCAACCCCGCAGGGAGCCGCGAGGTCTCGGCAGATCTGCGTGGACCTCCACTCCGCTGGACCTCCCAGGAGCCCACGAAAATGGCGACAGCTGCGCGGTTCGCAACCCCGCAGGAAGTCGCGAGGATTCGGCTGGGCCTGCGTGGACCTCCACCACTCCGCTGGACCTCCCAGGAGCCCACGAAAATGGCGACGGCTGCGCGGTTCGCAACCCCGCAAGGAGCCGCGAGGTCTCGGCAGAACCTCCACCACTCCGCTGGACCTCCCAGGAGCCCACGGCGACGGCTGCGCGGTTCGCAACCCCGCAGGGAGCCGCGAGGATTCGGCTGGGCCTGCGTGGACCTCCACCACTCCGCTGGACCTCCCAGGAGCCCACGAAAATGGCGACGGCTGCGCGGTCGCAACCCCGCAGGGAGCCGCGAGGTCTCGGCAGATCTGCGTGGACCTCCACTCCGCTGGACCTCCCAGGAGCCCACGAAAATGGCGACAGCTGCGCGGTTCGCAACCCCGCAGGAAGTCGCGAGGATTCGGCTGGGCCTGCGTGGACCTCCACCACTCCGCTGGACCTCCCAGGAGCCCACGAAAATGGCGACGGCTGCGCGGTTCGCAACCCCGCAGGGAGCCGCGAGGATTCGGCTGGGCCTGCGTGGACCTCCACCACTCCGCTGGACCTCTGACGCAGGTCTCGGCAGATCTGCGTGGACCTCCACTCCCTGGACCTCCCAGGAGCCACGAAAATGGCGACGGTGCGCGCCCGCAACTCCCGGGAGCCGCGTCGTCCTGCGTGGAGGCTGGACCTCCCAGGTGGCGACGAAAATTCTGGGCCTGACGCTCTGGAGCCCACAAAATGGCGACGGCTGCGCGGTTCGCAACCCCGCAGGGAGCCGCGAGGTCTCGGCAGATCTGCGTGGACCTCCACTCCCCTGGACCTCCCAGGAGCCCACGAAAATGGCGACGGCTGCGCGGTTCGCAACTCCGCAGGGAGCCGCGAGGATTCGGCTGGGCCTGCGTGGACCTCCACCACTCCGCTGGACCTCCCAGGAGCCCACAAAAATGGCGACGGCTGCGCGGTTCGCAACCCCGCAGGGAGCCGCGAGGATTCGGCTGGGCGGACCTCCACCACTCCGCTGGACCTCCCAGGAGCCCACGAAAATGGCGACGGCTGCGCGGTTCGCAACCCGCAGGGAGCCGCGAGGTCTCGGAGATCTGCGTGGACCTCCACCACCTCTGCTGGACCTCCCAGGCGCGGCGAAAATGGCGACGCTGCGCGGTTCGCAGCAGGAAGCGCGAGGAGGGGGCCTGGCGACGGCTGCGCGGTTCGGCAGGGAGCCGCGACGGCTGGGCCTGCGTGGACCTCCACCACTCCGCTGGACCTCCCAGGAGCCCACGAAAATGGCGACGGCTGCGCGGTTCGCAACCCCGCAGGGAGCCGCGAGGATTCGGCTGGGCCTGCGTGGACCTCCACCACTCCGCTGGACCTCCCAGGAGCCCACGAAAATGGCGACGGCTGCGCGGTTCGCAACCCCGCAGGGAGCCGCGAGGTCTCGGCAGATCTGCGTGGACCTCCACTCCGCTGGACCTCCCAGGAGCCCACGAAAATGGCGACAGCTGCGCGGTTCGCAACCCCGCAGGGAGTCGCGAGGATTCGGCTGGGCCTGCGTGGACCTCAACCCCGCTGGATCTCCCAGGAGCCCACGAAAATGGCGACAGCTGCGCGGTTCGCAACCCTGCAGGGCCCGCGAGATCTTGACGAGGGAGCGGACGACTGAACAAGAAAAGAGGGTGGGCGGAGAGTGGACGAAGGGGAGGCGGGGAGGAGGGAGGAGGGAGGCGGGAGGAAGGAAGGAGGTGGGGGGCCCACACTGCACGATCCAAAGCAAGAGCCCTACCAGGGCGGAGTTGGGAAGATCAAGCGAGCGAAGATCAAACGCGGATCTTCACGCAAAAAACGACGCGGCGACCTTGCGCGGTGGCGTGCGCGGGCCGCCGGCGCAGCAGGCCGCCGTGGAGACGAGGGCGTGTGCGCGCGACCTTACGCGCGGGCAGCCTGCCCGCGCGTGCCGGCGAAGGCGGCCCCCTGGTGGTGGGTGGCGCTCGTCGGGCCCGCGCCTCCTCACGCGCGCGCCTCCTCACCGCGGAATCCCAAACCGGCGCCCTCGCTTGAGACATCCTCACAAAACCGGCCCCGGGGGAGGTGCCCAGAGGAGCCCAGAGCGGCCTCCGGCACCGTTTCCGGACAGATCCGGACAGATCCGGTGGATCCGCGCCCCGGGGGAGGTGCCCAGAGGAGGAATGAGGAGGAGGAGGAGGAGGAGGAGGAGGAGGAGGAGGAGGAGGAGGAGGAGGAGGAGGAGGAGGAGGAGGAGGAGGGGGGGGGGGGCCGGCACAGCGGGGGGGGAAACATCGGCCTGGAGTCGGCGGCACATCGCCGATAGATCGGCGACGAGCCCCCGATCGCAAGTCCCCTCCTGGGCTGGGGGGGGGGCTTTCAGACCCCCGTCGGCGAGGAACGTCGGCGGGCGGCGAGCGAGGGGGGGAGGCGAGAAGGAGCAGGCCTCCTCAGAAACCCTCCGGCCTTCTGATCAGTTTTCTGTGGCTTCAGGGAAGGCTGAGAAGACTTCTCAGAAGGTCGGGGGGCTTCCGAGCCTTCTGAGAAGGCCTTCTCCTTCTCACTTCCCCCCCAGGCGCGGTGCCGAGAGTGGGCGATAGGGGGTCGATGCATCCCACCCTTTGCCTATTCTCCCCCTATCTTTGCCCCGGATCCTCCGCCGGCGCCCCTGATACACTCGCGCTGCGAAACAAGAACACGGACGGCACGGGGGGTGTCTTGCCCATGTTCTGCCTCTGGAGGCCCTCGTGGGGCCCTCGCGGGGCCCTCGAAGAGCCCTGACTGCAGAGTGCTTCGGCGCTCGACGCATCGGGGGTGGTCGACCGATCGCACGGCATCCTCGCCAGCGCCGCGGCGGGTCGCAGGTTGCGGCTCCGCATCGGCGGTGGAGCCAACCCGGACCAGGTGCCCGAGCAGAGAGGCTGAAGAGGTCTGGCCCCACGGCGCGAACGGTGCGCTCGATCCTGCGGCTTCCGTGCTCCCCTCGTGCTGCTCATCACGGACTCCGACCACAGAGCGGCTGACCTCTGCGAGGGCGCGTCTGGACTTGGCTCGGTGAGGAGGCCGCCGAGCGGACAGGCACACACCGCGGGGGCCCGGGGGGGCGCACGGTCAGGCCGTGCCCGGCAGGCCTGGGGGGAAGGCCGGCGGAGAGCAGAACAGAACAGAACCACGGCCCCGAGGGGGCGGAGCGCCACCGCCCCCTGCGCTGCGCAGGGTAGAAGATGGGAAACATCACGAGCGCTATAAGCAAGGAGGGTGGTGAACTCAGACCCCCGACGTCATCATTTTTCCACCGCGTCGACCTGCAGAGGTCTCGACCCATTCGCCGGGACCAGTTTTTCACCCTGAGTCGTGTTTTGACGGCCCGGAGGCCCTAAGGGACCGACAAAAATACGAAAACCTCCCGTCGTAATTTTTGTCACGACGCGAGGGGGTCTGGGAAGGTTGTGAAACAAGCTCTGTCATACCAGCGCTTATGATATCCTCCCACACCTCTCTCTCTTGGGGGAAGGCCAGCGGAGGGGGCCGTCGGATCGGACGAACAGGGGGGGGGGGAGATGGCAAAGGGGCGGGTCGGACGAACAGAGGGGGTAGATGGCAAAGGGGGGGGGTAGTAGCGAGTCAGCTCTCGCGCATGTACGGTGGGGGCATTGGACAAGGAACCCTTAGATCATGAATCCAGGGTCTGGAAGCTGAGGGAGCTCCAATCGCAGATCTGCCATGGAAATCACCGCCGCCCTCACGAATTAAGGAATCCTCCAGTTCGGACGCCCGAGATGGGTACATAAAAAATGTGCCGTGCCCAACAACACGTGTTGTCTCAAAACAATTGCGGCCGCTGTTGGGCAGACTGCCGTCTGTCTCAAATGGACACAGGCCGCGGCGGCACGGACAGCGAGTTCTGTTCAAAATGAACAGGAACTGCTGTTGGGCATTGTACCCGTTCTTTCCGTACCCATGTCGCTCGTGCCGATCCAGGGTCTGCAGCCGCCTAGGCACATTCCTTAATGAACGCCCCCACCGTAGCTGATCTCCCCCGGCGCTGGAGGCGCCAGTGTATCGAGGGAAGCGCCCTGCGGCGGGGCCGAAGCCAGCCGCACGCAGCGGATGTCGCAACGACCCCTTTCCCTACCCCCCCTCTCGTCCGACCCGAGGCTGGGAGCGGGGGAGGGGGAGAACGCCCGCCCCTGGGCGTTCGGCAGGCCCGACGTCCGGGATGTCCTCCCTCGGTGGCTTGCCGAGGTCGGCCACCGCGACGTCCATCTCCCCTGGCTCCATGCTCAGCTGCTCCTGCATGAGCTCCTCTGAGCAGCCCTCAGACGCATGGCATCTGCTGGCGGCGCGCACAAGGGGGTGCAAGGAAGGGGGGGAAGGCTCCTGAGAAGGAGCCTGCTTCTTAGAAGGCGCCGGCCTGACATCTACAGATAAGGCCCGCGCCTTCAAAGAAGCAAGGGTGCTTCTAAGCAGCCGTCCCCCTCACCCCACCCCCCTCTGCGCGTGGCTGCTTACTATCTGCCCCTCCTACCCACCTCCTCTCGTCGCTCCTCGTCGGCAGGGGAAGACTGTTAACCACGCGTGCTGCGTGTATCTTCCGGTGGAAAAAACCTTTCCGCCATGCGTGCACTGCGTTCTGGATCGCGCGGCAGTCGACGGGTCTCGCCGAGGGCTCCTGTCCTCGAGGCTGGAGGCTCCTGGAGGGCCTACAGCTAGTTTTTGGGCGTCTCTGGGGGGCTCCTCGTCGCCACCGCAAGACCCGCCTCGACATGGTAGCCCGAGCGCGCCCCGGGGCCCAAGCCACGCCTGCAGCCCCAGGACGAGGCCTCCGCGTCGCGAAAAACGCAGGGCAGCACATGCTTGGCAGATTTCGGCTTCTCCCGCTCCCTGGACCAGAATGATGTTGTGGTGCGACTGGCTCGGGATACGCTCCAGGAAGTCCGGAGTATACAGAGGCCGTTGGTTCTGCGACCCGTGTGGAACATTAGGGAAATCTGGACAATCCTGGACATCTCGGAACTAGAGCAAGGACCGACCGTCCCAGCATTCCTACAGGCCTACCGCGATATGTCTTCAGATCAAAAAGACGGATGTTCTGAGAACATTAAAAAACAGACGGACCAGCACAAGACAGCCTCAGCCAGAAATGGTGCAAGAACATTTCGTCGTGCAGGCTCTTCGAATTTTCTCTGGTGGGCAAATCGGCAAGCCGGGACGCGTCGCCACTGCTTGTCGGGGGCGAGCGAGGGGGGTAACTGCGAACAAGAAGGCCCTCTAAGAAGGCAGCGGGGCTTCTCAGGAAGCCTCCTCCAGCCTTCTGCGAAGTTTTCTGTGTCTCCAGGGAAGGCTCAGATAACTTCTCAGCACCTCCTCCCCCCGGCTAGCCGCCGAGCTGGAGGAACGCATCACTGCCAATACCTCTGGTAACCCGGGCCTCCCCCGCCGCCTCGGCGGCGGGCAGGCCGGGGGACTTCCCCCCCCCCCCGGCTCGCCGCCGAGCTTGCGCAGCGCATCCCTGCCAGTGTCTCTTGCTCCCCTGCCCCCCCTCCCCGCCGCCTCGGCGGCGGCCCCCCCCCTCTCGGCGCTCCGGCGAGGAGGGCTCTGGCGGGAAGGGGCCCGGACAGCCCACCTCCCCCGCGAGGCGGGGAACCACAGTTAACTAGTATGACAAGGATGCGCGGTAGGGTTGCAAGGGGCTTGGAGGGCCATGTCAACGTTTTTCGGACGAGGTTGGCCAGCGAAAGTCGCTAAGGATGGGCCGAAGGGGCAAGGTTGCAAGCTTGCCCTTGGGAAGGTTGCCCAGCCTACTGTACGGGTTGACTGTATTCCTCGCCATCGCTCGGACGCCCATTCCCTGTGCATTTTCGGGGTTCGTGCGCGTATTTTTTCGCAGGGTGAGCAGAAATCCTCCTCGATGGTCCTTGCCGAGAAAAAAGGCACACGCCCGAGCGATGCCAAGATCCAAAACCACCCCTTGGAGGGTCGAACTTCGGGGACCTCGGCAGGCGGTGGCTATGGATGTGTCGCCGCGCCGTTCGTCCTCGACGCGCCCAAGTGGACAAAACAAGCATTACGGCAAACCCACGGCGAACCCTGCGTCCCACGTCGGAACAAACGGCCGAACAAACGACACGAAAGCAATCGCATCAACATGGAGTTCGCTCAAACGCGTACCGTTCGTGTCACGAGTCGAGGGAGACGAGATCGCGATGCAGAACCGCGGTGGGCATGGGTATAACTATGATCCTGGGTTCAGGGTTCGCAGCCCCCCCCCCCGATGGGACGGGCCTCAGGGTTCCTCAGCCCGCGCCCCCCAGATATAATGGGGGGGAGACAACGATGACGACGACGAAGACGACGACGCTGGCGACGACGACGACGACGCTGGCGACGACGACGACGAAGACGACGACACGACGACGCTGGCGACTACGACGACGACGACGACGACGACGACGACAACGACGACGACAACGACGACGACGACGACGGCGACTACCCTGCGACCTTGGACTCGGAAAGCTCGCGGCGAAGGCAGCCGAACGTCCACCCTCCGTCACATCTTTGACTCGGAAAGCTCTCGGCGAAAGCACCGGAACGTCAACCATCCACAACGCCACGCCCACAGGACCACGACCAGAGGGGGGCAGGAGCGATTCCATTCGCGAGGCCTTCGCGAGGCTCACAAGCGTACCCATCCAGCGGGGGGGTGGGATCGATCCCATCAGCATTGGGGGAGAGGGGGGGGGCGACCCCTGGATCATGTATTGCCCCACCCCCCCCCCAATGCCCGAAAATATGAATATCCACCACCTGCCGATTCAGACATCCTCCGTCGTGATTTTTGTCGCAACTTGGCTCCCCGAAAGGTCTGGACCCCTTCCTTGGGGACCGGCCCTTCGACCAGAGTAGTTTTGTCGACAGTCCTGGGGCCCAGCAATCATCCCCCAGGCAGTGGTTCTGGATGAAAAAGTCCGCGTCGGACCTCCCTTCGGCGGCGGCACCCCCTGCAGCAAAGTGGAGCGCCGACCAAGGGGCGCGGGGCGCCCGGGAGCCCCGCTGTCCGGTCTGGGTGCTGCGCGGGGGCGGTGCGAACACGCCGACGGCACCGAAACACAAACATCGCACTGAGGCGCTGAACCAAAGTAGGAGGAGGCGAGATACATGACCCTGGCGAAGGACACGACCAAATACAATTGTGAGCACCGCCGTTGTGAGAACCGCTTTCGGTGGAGCTCCCTCTGGGGCCACGAAACGCGTGAATGGAACGCCGATATTTGGCGGGGCCGCCATGCGGGCGCTGCCGCTGGGGCCGCCCGCAAGGAGCGCGGAGGTCAGACGAACCGGGATACGTGTTGATGTAACCCGTCGCGGCTGACTGGCACAATGAGAAGTGGGAGAAGAAACGCGGGCGCAGCCCCTGGGGCCTTAGGTCGAGCTCCCTATGGGGCCACGAAACATGTGGGAGGTGTGCCGAAGCAGACGCTGGAAAGAGGAGGGGGAATGACGATGATGACGATGATGATGATGATGACGATGATGCTGGTGTTTGTGATGATGATAATGATGGTGGTGGCGATGGCCTGAGCTCCCGATGGGGGCGCGACACGTATGACGGGTGTGCCAAAGTAGGGGGCGGCATGCGAACGCAGCCACTGGCGCTTGAAGTGGAGCTCTCTGTGGGGCCACGAAACATGTGAGGAGTGTGCCAAAGGGAGGGGAGGGCGGCACGCGAACGCAGCCACTGGGGGCATTCAGTAGATCCCACTTTTTGACGCAACGGAACGTGTGAGGGGTATGCCGAAGTAAAGGAGGTGGCGGCATGCGAACGCAGCAACTGGGGCCCTATGTGAAGCCCAGTATGATGCCACGAGGCGTGTGAAGGGTCTGCCAAAATGTTGGGGCGACGGCATGCGGGCGCAGCCACTGGGGCCCTTCGGTGGAGCTCCCTGCGGTGCACGAAGCGTGCAAGGGGTGCGCCAACATGAACGGGGGGGGCGTGCGGGCGCAGCCACTGGGACCTTAGGTGGAGCTTCCTTTGGGACCACGAAGCGTGTGAGGGGTGTGCCAAAATGCGGGGTTGGCGGCATGCGAGTGCAGCCACTGAGTCTTTATGAAGCTTTTTGCCTGGACATCAATAATCCCTGCAAGGTGTTCCGATAGCGTCTCATGTCCAGGAGGCTCCGCCGAAGCCATGGCAAGGAAGGAATGCTCCGCTAAGCTGACTGTAGAATAACCCTGAAGGGAAGAGGCCGGTCCGCCGGCCGACGCGCGCGAGAGCGGGCGCGCTCCTTTTCCGCTATTCTAGAGCCTGAATAGCTGCAGCAGTCAAACATGTCAGTGCAAAGAAGAGAAGGCAAGGGCAGCGGGATGGCGGTGCGGAGAGGAAAGCATTGACTCCCCCCACGGCGGCCATTCTATTGACTCCCCCCACGGCGGCCATTCTTTCCGCCAGCGGGCTTATGAGCACCACCCGCTCCCGGCTGGGCCGGGGCAGCTGGCGCATTGGGCTTCTTGTGGTTGCGAGGGTGGCCGTGTCCCGCCTTGGGGCCTTTTTTTCTGCTTGACATATCTGCGGGCTGTCTCGCCTTTAGTACGTCCGCTTGCCGTCTTGTCCGTGGGCAAGCCCAACCGATGCGCTGTCGCCGCCGTGGCGGAGGCCCGTCGTCCGCCCCCGCCGCCCTCATTCATCCCGCCAGTGAGGCGAAACTGCTTATTTCTGGAATTGAAAGTTGACTCGTACTCGGAAGTTGCCCTCTCCTCACGATCCCGCATCATAAGTAACTCAACCTGGTACAGAAGCTACTGGTATGAGCGCATTCCTGTCCCGGGAGGGTCTGTTGATTGCTCATGCCACTGCGCGATCACCTCGAGCCCTCGGAAATTGATGAACATGTCCAGAGAAATGCGCACGGATTGAAACCTTCATTTCGTCCACAGGTTCTCTCGCGCCATGCAATTCTTGATGGCGCTCCATCCATTGTAGAAATAATACATGTCATGATTTGGCTTCTGACGGTCAATGGTGATCTGGAAGAGATCGCGACATATCCAGTGCTGCCCGTTTCCTGATCTGACCTATGGCGGGGATCATCTCTCGACCCGCGAGGAGGCGTTCCGCGATCTGGCACGAATGTTCCACGCGGTGTTATTTGTGAAAAGACATGGGCATGTTGTGCCGAAAGGTTACGACTGCGTTTCATACTGGCAAACTTCTCAAGCATATTTGTCGCATCATCATATAATGGCGCATGAATGCCCCAGCTGTCTGGAGGTTCTCCTTGGGAATCTCCGGGCTCATGGATCCC